CCTTCACGAGGGGTCAATCAGTCTGAAGATGAAATACGTGCAATTCGCTGGGATTTCATGGCTCTTGATCACTTCGCGTCCTCCTTTTGTGCTCCTCTTCGCTGCCTTTCTCAACCACCCCGCCGAAAACCGCAATGCAAACAGCGAAAGAAGCAGGATTTATGTCTACAAAGACATTCTTGTAATTTAAACTTTGTCTAATTCCTTATCATGCTTTTTGATGTCTTTTGATCCATTTAAATTGATCTTCAAATAAAACAATGAAGTCATTTTTCATCCTCTTACAATTTTCGCCAGAGAAGATTGACTGCAAAAACTTTAAGGTTTAACAAGGGGCAGATATTATTGTTGAAAATGGTTTACAGTTTAGCAGGAGTGTTAGGATTTAGAAATGTTAAAATTCTTTTGAATATTTACATTGCAAAAGCTCCTGTTTCTGTTTCTGAGAAAAAGCCTTGAAAGGCGTTCAGAAGTGTCTGAAGTCTTAAAGATTTCTGCACAGAATCTGCGGAAGGATGTGGTGTACATATGTAAGGCATATTATCTCCCTCTTGGATTTTGGAGCACACACATTTCTTATTAGCAAATCCATTCGAGACTTTGTGACCCCGTAAGTTTTCCTTCAGCCGCCTAAAAGTCAGGTACTTGCGAGAGACAAACATGCTATATCTAATCTCCTTTGCACAAGTGTTTGAGGTGAATGGAAAACTTTGATCTTAAATCACCGCCACATCAACGTCACACACTTTCCAACCCTCTAATTTCTTCATCTCGCACATCCTTCAGCTCGAGACGGAAAACTTTCCACCGGCAATCTCACACGTTGGGGAGGTTTTCTGCACTCCCTCTTCGAAGATGCCTTGCAAAATGTGTGTGTGTGCCATTTTTTAATTACAATTTAATCCCAAACATGGTCAAATGGAGGGATTTACTTTGAATTCAACCCTCGTGCGGTGTCGTTTAAAAAGGCATTTTGGCCGGGTGTCTTTTTTTTTTTGCCCGCACCCTCAACAATTTGCGAGAACGTCTGCTGCAAAAATTTCATATTCCACTGGCAGGAAAAAAAATCCGTGGAAATAAGTTTAAATTGCGCATTTTATCGTTCTAATTGTTTTAATTCTGATTTATTGTGTCACGCCGCATAAAAAGACCATAAATCATTACTGCAAAATGGAACTACAAGATAATACTTGGGCTTTTTTCTCTCTCTCTTTCTCATTCCTTTTTTTCTGCGGGAAAATGCTATGTATGAAAATGTCTCACCCTTGGGAGGCCACAAGAAGCCACACTGAGAATAAATTGATTTATCAACATTGTCATAAAAATTGCTATTTGCATTTATATGTGATATCTCTCTTTCCTGGGAGACTTGTTGTGTGTGTTTAACTTTCTATTCAGCGGGGGAAGATAGAAGTCACCCCTCAAGACGACCAGCGGCAAAAGGGAAAATTGAAGAGAAATGGTCACCAGCCGCCACATAATAAATCATCAGGCATTTTATTCCATTGTTGCTTAATGTATTTGATTCCGTTGCGGCTCTTCCTTGTGTGTTGAAAAGGATCAAATTGATATTCCTCAAGATATGCTGCGCGAGGGAAGGAAAAGTGACCGCGCCCGGTGATGTTGGGGAAAATTAATCTTCAAATGTCATTTTAATTTCACCGGACATTCTAAATGGTGCCATTTAAAATCTCGTCACGAACGAAACATTTTTTTCCCTGTTTTCAAATGGAAAATGCACCCGAGAGCCTTCTTGACACTCAATTCACCCCATATGTTGGCACATCCCTTCGCTGTTTGAGTTATTTCACGTCGTTCAGCAGCGAAAGGTCAGCTCGTCGCTAATTTCCACTCAAATATTAATACCATCTCGATGGCGAAGGGCAATTGGCGCGGGCGGGGAAAGTGTTCTGGCGGGAAATTGGCCGTAATTATGGGGTTTTGGATAGTCAGCGGAAAATGCTCGTGTTTTCCACCGCAGACAGATTAACGACTATTTTGGGTGTCACCTGTTCCTGACATCATATCCGGAAACCGCATTGTGTCAAATTTCTGGCTGATCCTTCCCAGAGAGATTGTCTTGGGGAACATTGAGATTCGCGATTTGACGCTGCTCAAGAGCCGCATAACGACAAAATATTCTAATTTCGCTGATAGCAATCTCGTGTCTTCAAGAGCTCAGCGAAGGGGTTGAGAAGATGCGTGAATTTGAATTCATCGCCAGAAACCAAGAGGGAAATAATATCAGAATAATAGAATCTATATAATATGAAAATATTTAAACACCGCAATCAATAAAATTTTAAACAGCAAGAAACCAGTAAAGATTTAAACACCTTCTTCACTTTCTCAATACTTCCTGAGAACTGAACACTATTTCCGACCATAATAACTCCCCCTTGCCACGAACAGTTGGAGGCGAAATGCTTTCCCGCACCGCTAAAGGGGGGCTTTATTCTCTTGTTTGTTTGCTTACAAGTGTCTATAGAAATACACCCCTCGGAAAACACCTTCTCACTCTTCGCGAATTGCGGTCGCATAAGTAATGATTGCTTTAAGATGGAAAAACACTGTTTTTCTTTCTAATTTCCTTCTCATGACTCCAAAAATACTCCTTGTGTTGCCTAAACAAATTTGTGTGGCAATTTGTCTGATTAAATATTCAACTCTTGGCACAATGCCTTGTCAACATTCTTCTCGCCAATGCGCACTTTTTCCGCGGGGGGGTGGAAGAATAAAATTTCCATTCAATCGTATGGCGTGAGATGTAAAATCAGAGGCGCGCACGCTGAAGAAATCCCTTCACGTGAGTGGAAAATGTGAAATGATTGTGAAAATTTGATGATTTGATACTTTAGTCAATAAAACATGTGGAAAACGTCCACTGGGATCGAGATAAAAATGCAAAAGACACTCTTTTCCTCCTCTTCTCCCTTCACGCGTGAGCCCTTCAGTGGCACAATCCGAGATGAGATCACAAATTGCATATTGGCGAAACAATATAGAGACGAATATGGAATTTTGATTTGGTACGTGAGACGTTTTGAAGGTACAGACATTATTTGCATTCCACCGAGAGGGAGAGAAATATCATGGAAAAAAACACACACATAAAATTCAGATTTCCCCTCAAATATGCAATATAAAATCTGGCAAAAAAATATGACTAAAATCCACTAAAAACACCTCTCAGAACTTGTTGATTATCGCTAAATAGACTGAACTTTATGCATAAAGAACAGTCTCATCCTCCAATTGCACACTCCAGCGACTCCGAGGCGCACTTTCGCCGACACAAACTTTGAGGGGGTGTTCTTGTTAAATTGAAATGCCATCTTCAATTTTAATCAGTGACATTTTCCCCCGCTGCATCCCTTCAAGTAATGTATTTTATTAATTTATACTTCACACACTGATAAATTCCAATAACGGCGAAGTGTGTGTGTGAGGAGAAAAATGATCTTTGCGAGCGGAAGACATTAAAAACACGCCATTTTCTGCGGGGTGAGAGAGGCTGATGTATCCGTTCTGAGATGAGGATATGGCAATCCTCACCCTCTGTGGCAAAATGATTCGCCAAAATGTGCTATTCTTCAATCGTAATGCAATATACGAAGTAAGGAATGTGTTTTCATGAATCCTTCAGTGGTGATTTTTCATCTTTCGCCATGAAAATGCTGGAAAGGTGAAACTCTGAGACTGTAATGAGTCATGTTGGCTCCAAAAAGGTCCAAAAATATGGTTACTAATATTACCATATTAAATATGGTTAATATGGCATGTAAAAGTCCCGATTGTATTTCCCAAAGACAAGTTTTGCCCTGTGATTACATCGCTAGCCTCTTATTCCTCGGTTTAGAAGTTTGAATCCAACTTGTGGCAAATTTTGTGGCTTTCTTCTCTTTTATGCTGTTTTTGATGATATTTATTTCCCTTGAAGATATTCAACATTAATTTAAAATAAAATATTAAGTATCTTTAAATATACTTTCAAAGATTTTCACACGAATGAAGGGAAAATCAAGTACATTAAAGTCACTTTAAGGCGTTCACTAACTTTGCCTTCGTTCATTGCCTTCGACATTTGCGGCATTTCTCACTCCAAATAGACATTATAATGTTCATTGGAAAAACATCATTTTCTCCCATAGTCGCAACATCTGGAAGCTCGCAATTTACCACAGAATCAAGTCACGGAAGTGAACAGATGGAGAAATTTCTTCACTGCAGACCAAAAAAAACACAGAAAGTTGGATGAAACTAATTGCATGCAACTAATTTAGTCACGGCGCGTGTCTTTGCTTCGCGCGGCCGAAAATATCAACACACACTTCGGCAAGCGTTATCGCGAGTCAATTATGCAGGAAAAATGTTTTTCTCTCACTTTTCTTTGATGGATGGAAAATTGCGCTATATACATTGTATTTCTGCGCATTTTATAGGCATCATAAAACATCTTTAGGCGCGTCTCTCAACATTTTCCGCTTGTTTTCGCACTCTGAGTTCTGCGACGACAAGTAAACAATTCATGCAGATTTTACCAATATTTTCCGTGATTCTTGCCAAAAGGCCCGTATTTCCGTCTGTTTGGCGTCACTTGGCGTCATTGAGTGAAATACAAGCACTCAGAGAGTCACAATTGCTCGAAAATAGCCGTGATATTGAACATGAGCGCCATTGTGTAATGCAAAAAAATGATGAAATTCACGCCAAGAATTTCCACAATAAATCGCTTGAGTGAATTTATTTCATTCATAAAATTCATTTGACATGCTATTCTGGTGGCTCTTCTCAATGTAGTTCAATAGCTGAAGCATTCGAAATCACCTCTTTTCGTGAAGTGTCCACAAATCATCGTGGCATCTGAAAGTCTTTCTTATTAGTGATTCCGGAGGTGTTGCTGCCACCTTTATGAATTTGAATTCTTGCCTTTTTCGAGCTTCCACCGTCGATGCTGCGGTGGGAGGCTTTTGAGCATTGATTGGAATAACATTAGTACATATTTTCCTCTCATTTATTGCTTTGTGATGGTGTAAAAGTATTTACAGAATGTACAAAACATGTTATTTTGCGTCTCTCTCCCCACTGAGAGACCGTTAAGATCGTCCGCGCGGCTATTTCGATGTGTTCTCCTCAATGTAGACGTTTCCCTTGCCAGGATACTTCTTGAAGTTCTTTCCAGCTGAAAGAAATCAAGCAAAAACAGGCTCAATATTCACCCACGGACGCACTCATGAGGCAGATTACGCACCCAACAGCTGTTCGAGGTAGACACAGTGAACTTCGAGGGGCTTCCCGATGCGCTCGAGACTCGGCTCCTCAATGAAGATCGTTCTGTTCTCGAGACTTTGTACTTGCGCCAATTTGGCCATTAGTCGTGCTGACATCTCCTCCATGTCTGTGGGCGAGAAGGCAAGGCAATTAGTTGGTGGCGAAGAAGTGCCGATGATGGAGATTTTCAGTGTCAAAATGACCTCGCACGATCAGAGATCTCTCGCCAAGTGAACTGCCGAGAGTGAATTTTCGCCCAGTGTAAATAAATAGCAAAACGCCCAGGAACTGCACGCGTGAGTGCAGCGAAAAGCACAAAATTTATCGCACTCTCAAATCAATTTCCGGACATCCAGAGCGCGCGAGTGTTTTGCATTTCTGGCACTAGAAATTTATACAAATTCACTGCGCTTCTGGTGTGTTTCTTTGGAGTAAATTTAGCAAATAGAGCATGAGATGCGAGAAATTGGAGGAATTTTCACATGGCCAAGCCAACTTCCTGGGCGTCGGCGTGATGGTGACAGATTCTGCTGATTTATGCACTCACCGGCATCGAATTTCCTCTCCATCCGCCACTGTCGGGCGTGCTGAAGAGTGATTATTGCAGCTGCGAAGAAGAACAGGAGGCAGGCGACAGCAGCCATGGCAAGAAATGTTGCCTGCCAATTCCACTCCTCCAGGTCGTCATCCGTGCTCGAGCCCGAATAAGGCTGCAAGAGAGTTCATCATTCCATCTGACACTCTTCTAAACATGCGCTACTCTTGTGCAATGTTTCAAAACCAGAAGGGAATCCAAGTCAATCAAGACGCGAGTTTACCTCGTGGGGTGCTTCGTGTCGGGGATCTATCCGGGAAAGGACGTGAGAATCTATTCCCAGGTCCTGAAAGGTGCCGCAAACGGTGTCAGTGTGTGGCTGGCACATCCTGAGAGTGGCTTCCTCGCATTGCGTACAAACTATGCAGCGATTCTCGGCTGAATGCCACCACGAGCCCTTCTCGCACGGTCCTGTCGCGGCTGCGGCTGTGAGAATGTGGCATCCGACGGCCAAGAAGACGGAATATCGAATATTGGTGATCCTCCACGTAGACAGCATTGTTGCAGAAGCGCGCGCGCGCTCTGTTCGGCATGGAAATAGAGGAAAGAAGACAATAATTTTTACGATCACTTCCGACACCAACAATCATCTTCCTGTCATCACTCGCCACATGATCATATAGAGAGAATAAATAATCGATACAAGTTGCCCAATGGATTGGGTTTGTGATGTGTTTCTCACGGAAGTGCGAAGACTGGCGCGCGAAGGCTCACAAGGCCTGATGGTGTCTTTATACCTGCGGAGATGTCGTGAGTTTGTGGTGCGAGCGCGCGCGGAGGCGTTTTCCGTGCAGAGGAAATTCATTAGGAATTCTCAGCGGTGAATAAATGGCCGGGAGAGCAGACAGGCAGATGTGCCGCTGCCGCCGCCGCCTCTTGTCGACATCAAAATGGACTTCATTTCCTCGCGAATGACACAGAAGAAAAACAAACGATTTCCCTCCACAAATCTTCATGATCAACTCCACACAAATTTTCCCTCCGCGCGCATCGCGTAAACAGAACGCCAGGTGGCCGGCGGATTTTTCGGCATCGCGGGAAAAAAAATACACTGCGAGGAATCTCTGTGCTCAGCTGGAGATGTACGAGCACACTTTTCACGCGCGCTCGTGAAAAATGCGCCATTTTCTCACGATGTGATCTCCACTCACTGTTCCTTTGATGATCCTTCGCATTGCGATCACCGTGGGATTTATTGACTCCGCCGAAATTCGCGTGCTCATTTTTCCCGCTCAAATGAGGCCACTCGCTTTGTGTAGTCTATCGATTTTCGTTAGCGCGGAAAGATGAGGCTTTCCACTGATGCCGAGTGTTTACACGGCGAAACTGGTAATGTTCGTTCAAATTGGTCATTCTTTTGAAGAAATATTTTCTATTCGACTGAGATCTATCAAAATGTTTTCTGGATTTGATTGCTAAGTTCTTAATTTGAAAAACTCCACGTCAGATTGTGCGATTTATTGACTTTCCATTGCAACATAAAACTAAAAATAGTTGGAATGACAAAAAGGACACGCTTTTCCCTGCGCTTTTCTCATTTTCTCATCATGTTGGCGTAATTTCCATTCCTTCGCTCTAAAATTGAGTTTTCCCGCGCTTGAAAGATGCTTTTTCACAAATTACTTATGTAGTTTTGTTGTTATGTTATGTTGGCTAGAAGAAGACGTTTTAATCTTGATTTTCATTCAAACAGATAGACAGATTGTTCTGAGTGTTGCCATTATGGTTCTATAACTTATTCCAAGAATTTTCCATCACTTTACAGATCAAATGATATTATAAATGATCATGTTCTTGTTCCAAAGCGTGATTCACATAATCTTTAATATTAAGAAATACAAATTACAAATCTGCAATTGGTTTTCACTGCCTTTCGGCGGTTTTCTTTCACGTTTCTCAACACTCCCGATTGATTTCCTCACCACGTTTTTTCGATCTCCTCAATCTCTTACCTTATCTTTTGCCACAGTGCGCGGAAAAAATGCACGTATTCTGAGATAAGCGCGAAACTCTTTGAGGACTTAAGATCACCGTGAAATTGTGGCGCAGCTCATTTTGTCAGTGCTTCGCCTCAATTAGCGACAAATGCAGAAGGTTTAATTTCAACCAGATGCTGAATGGCAAAGCGCTGAGGATCGTGCGAGCGCGTGCGTCTTCCTCGGATGACTTCTGGGCTCGGCCAGATGGGTGGTGAGATGGCTGGCGATGAGTGGGAAGGAAGGAGACGTTCTTGTTGCATCTTATTTCTTCCATCTTCTCTCCCATTCACCATCTTCTATACACGTTCTGCGCTTCTCTCCTCTCCCTCGCCATGTTATTTGTTGTTTCTTGGGTGTCTTTTTCTCTTGGGCTGTTTTATTTCACTTCTCCTCCAACTTCTTCTGCTCAACTCCGCGCGCCTTTTCTTACATTTTCCAACGCACACACTCGCTTTTGGAGGGACATTGTGTGTTTGGATGGTGTGTTTCTTCATTGCTGGGTCTTCGACATCCCAAAGCCAGCAACAAAAACGACGAAGGCGCGGGTTTTTGAAGAGAAATTTTCTATTTTTATCACTCACCTTCAACAGCAGCAGTTGATGGTTTCTATCGGCAGCAACAAGATATTATAAATAGACAATCGACACTCCAAAAAGTCTCTCGACGCGTTTTCTTCCTTTTTTTTCCACCTCTCCAAAAGTCGATCAACCAATATTTCTGCACTGAAACACTTGAGTTTCTGTGCTTGTGAGAATCTTCACTCCTTATTTGCACCTTTTTCGCTTGCAATACTTCACACCAATTTCTCCTGATTTCCCCATCAAAGCCTCATTTGGTCAGTCATTCGTCCAAAACAGCACAATGGTCACGTTTCAAATGGGAAACAACACAACAAACGCCTCCGGATGTGTCACAATATTCTCTACATATTTCCTTCCGTCGCACTACGAATTTTCCACCAAAAGAAAAAAAAAAATACTCCACCAACAAGACGCTCCTCGGTGAGCTTGTGTTGATTCTTGTGGCCAGATTCAGTCCACTTGAGGGTGCTCAAGTTGAGAAACTCCTCTTGTCGCTGAATGGAGACACAAGACTGATCAGCGATTCAACGGGAGCCGAAAAACCTGCTCTGTGTCTCTCTGACCAGTCACACATATGCACGAAATCGTCGATCTTCGTGCCTTCTTGCCTTGCCACCAGTGGCGAATCGCGGGCTCTGGGCGCCCGGGCGGCGTTTTAAAGCCCAAACTCCGCTTCACTCAACACTCTGTGAAGGTTTTCTGACGATTTACAGACTGTTGTGCGAGAGTGATTTTACTGTTTTCTCAGTTTATCACCAAACATTGACCTGAAACTCTTTAACATCACTTTGTATTTACTTTAAGAGTCAATAATGTTGATTTGGGGCAAACAAATGAAATTCTTACTCTCGGAAACTTCCTCCAATTCTGCCCATAGATCGTCTCAACGCACACATAAAGCCAACCAATTCATTCACAAAACTCTCTCTCTCTCTCTCTCTGTCAACTGTGAACAAACACACACCAAAACCGAGTTCAATCGCGAGGGGAGATCAAATCCTCCAATTTTATGACTGATTTTTTGATTTGAGAAGTGTTTTTTTTATTTATCACTGATTAAAAAGTTTATATCAATAATAATTTATCAACCCATCGCCACTGTTATCTCATCTAAATCATCTCTAGTATAACTTATAACGTTAATAAATAGAAACTGATCGCTTTTCGTCTCTCCAATCATTCGCCAATCGCCTAAATTAACATCAATTAGTTGGTAAAAGGACAGAACATGATGCATTCACAAGACACTCTTCCTCTCGTGACAATTGTCTTGCTTTTCACGATATTGAAGTATAAAAAATATATAACATATAATTCTCCAATGATCTCAAATGTTCCTTGATTTATCTTTCATATTGTATATGTATAAAATAGCAGCTCAGTATTTCTCAACATTTGCAAGGCACCCACAGTTGCATTATAAAAATTCTTTAGCCTGCCTGGATCATGTCTAGAAAGTCCATACAATAATCTATTGTTTGCAACATTTTAAAAATAGTTATTGGAATAAAAAAGATGCCATAAAATCTTGTAGAAATTCATCCACTGCAAAGGAATGGGAAAAAAAACGGTTCTTTAGATAAGCTTATCAACACCTTGGATTATCACATTTCAGGCGCACCTTTTAGTGGGACTGACTTTAACGTAGGGATTTTGTAGAATCTTCGGCTGAGTCTCCATGACGCGGAGGAGTAAATTGTCCAGGTAGTCCTCCAGTTCTTTCACCCTCTGCTTCTGGTGTTTCACCTCACTCTCCAGATAGTGGGCCAAATTCATCATTTCCTGCAATTACAGACAAGCCTCAGATATGGAAAGATAACACAAAACATGCTCAAGCCCATGTCCAGATAAAACATTCACCAATATTTGCGTAAACAAACGTTTTCTCTCTTTTCTCCCCTCTCTACACACGATAAGACATTCTTTCCACCTCTTGGAATTCTCTAAGAATGAACATGAAGAACACATTTATATTATATTTACATTTTTCTACACATTTCTTGTGACTCATTTGAATTTTCATTCCATAAAGCCTTAGAGAAGCCATTGAAAAACCCTGAAAATCATTCTCTAACCGCGTTACGAGGCAAGGATGCTCTTTTCTTTCGTATTCCAATTGGAATGTTTTTCTACTTGCATTTTTAGCGCATAAGAATCTATTTTACTAGACTAATTTGTCCGTTAAAATCACCAATCAGACTATTTGCCTAATCATAAGTTCCTTAAATCGCTAAAATTAGTGATTAAACAGAGACAGAAGATCAGATTCAATCCCTAATGGAACTCTTCTCACCTCCTTAGACTTCCCATCGTACTTCTGGAGGACTTCCTTCGACACTTCACCGCTGTGAATAGAATCTCTGTTGCGGAGTATTTCGTTCTCATGTCCAATGATGATTCTCTCGCTGAATTGCTGCACCTTGTCCTTGTCATCCTGGCCACGATGCCCAAACTCTCGACGGAAGTACTTCAGCTTCTTTGTGAATCTGTTCTCCTTCTCGCTCTTCACCTTCCCGCCACCGCCCTCTGAGCTCTTCTCATTGATCGCCTCCATCGTGTTGCTCCTGGGCAGCGGCAGTGGCTTGTGTTCGCCTTTCACCTTCAGGGACTTCTCCATGAACGCCGGCGATGACGGCGCCGTGGCCACTTCCTCCACTTTGGCCACCTTGGGCTCCTCCTCCTCTTCACTGGTCACCGTGAGCGGAACACGATTTGTCGGATCCCAGGAGCGCCTCTTCAGCGAATCCGTGCTGCCGCTCTCCTTGTACTTGCCGTACAACTTCTCCTCCCACTCATCCTTCTTGGGCGGCGTCTCCAGGCCGCGCGGCGGCTTTGCTGGAAGTGTCATTGATTTCTGATTGGCATCCAGTGGAACTGTGATGAACACCTCTCCTGGCGGTGTCTCCGGTCGCTGCTGACTCTTCACGCTCACCGCCGGACTGCTGGTCTTGGTGGAATCCGTGCGCTGCACTGACGTATTCGCCCCGGCATAGCCTTTGATGTTTAGAGAGCTTCCCGAGCTCTTGTGTGACAAATTCTCGAACGTGAACTCATCCTCATCCTCACTAATCACCCCCGGATCGGCGTCTCCCATCGTCTGGCCCGATCGCCGCTGAAATTGCCCACTGCCCGGTGTGCCAATGCTGGAAAAACTGCCCGACATTGAGTCCGAATCCACGACTTTCTTCTCCTTCTTCGACTTCCCACTCAGATGCACCTTCGATCCCAGCGATTTGGCGAAGTTCTTCAGCTTCTTCCGCTTCTCCAGCGTGCCCAGACTCAACAAACTCCCGCCGGCATTTGACGCAAGCTGTCCCAGCGACGATTTGTGCTTCTCCTTCTTGCTGAGATCCGTCAAAGAGCCCGCCTTGACAGTGAATGAGATTCTCACCTCCAACTCTCCGCGCTCCTTCTTGTTCTCCTTGCCCGGCTTGCTGGTCAACTTGAACCATCGCGATCGCGGCCTCTCATACGCATCCATCTCACTCAGCGGCAACGCCACTTGACCCAAGAACTCATCCATCCCAAAGTTGTTCCGATGCAAACTCGTGAGAATCAACTCGGCGCGATTTCCCTTCTCCGGAATCGCCCTGCAAGACAAGAAAATGAGATCAATTGGCTTCCCCCTCAGTCAAAACAGAAATCACTCACAATTCACACTCCTCGTGCCAATCCACATTCTGCTCAGCTTTATCCTTCACGGAAGTCTGATATTTCTCCTTGCCCAGCGCAATGGTCACGAAGCAATTGTTGGTCCCGTTCTTGCCCTTTATCAGAAGCCCACGCGCCTTGAGCACTGAAATAAACACACAACAGCATTATTATCAAACTGATAACGGCCACTTTTACAAATTTCCCATCAATCGCGCACTGGCTTTTCTATATAGAGTGAGACAGAAAATGAGATTCCTGACCAAAGCACCATGACTAATTAATCTACAGTGAAATTGTTTCTCTCTCCCGCTCTTTCTCATCCAACTCCAACCACACAGAGTTCCCAAATAATGCCGCGAGAGTCATAATCACGGCATTCCTCATGATTGCCTCAAATTATATCATCGACAGTGACAAAATGTGGCGTGGCATCTGAACACCTAAAATAAAAACCACCGCGCACACGACAGACAGAGATGAAAGCGATGTTTTTGCGAAATTCTGCATTTTTTTTTGCCACAACAATATTTCACACACAAAAATTCCTAGGCAAATAAAAATCGTTAAAAAAAACCCGCGTCAATTGAGAATTCCCAGCCTTGAACTGACCAGCCTTGCAGTGAAAGTGCCCTGAAAATTCAATCAAATCGCAAAAAGGCATTCGTCGCCAAATGCCTCGAGCGTGTTTAGCGACGATTCGCTCAATGGAGACGCGCTGCGAGCGACAAATTTAATTTTAACTTGACCTTTTGCGCCCATCCATTTGTGGGGAAGACATTTCAGGCGCATTTTTAGCAAGACAGAACAGTTCTTCAGCGCAATATATTGTGCTGATCTCTTCTCTTTCTGGTCACCACAGAAGGAATTTCATGCAACACAAAGAAAAGGTTATCTTTCAGCTCATTTTAACCCAAATTATTACAGTTTAACTCAATCAACAAACTCACAAATATCAAGAGAATGTGAACCAGACGAAGTGTCTCTAAGTGAAGAGCAATTTTAGACAGTAAAAACATCTGACCTAAATAATTCAGAAAATATTAATATTGTACATTTGGAATGAAAATTCTTTGGCTGTAATTAACACTAGAAAGCTCTTAAGATTTCCTTAGAGTCTCTAAGAAATGGTGAAAAAGCATTCTAATTCATATTCGATACAGTTGAATTTGAATTTAAATAAAAATTGCCTAAAGCAGTGAGAATTTTTACAAAGAAAAGACATTTTCTAGACTTTTTATCATCTTCCCAGAGACTTTCTGTTTTTCCTTCGATCTTCACTACTAAAGATAAGAAAAGCCTCCTTTTCAAGTGTCTCAAATGAGTCTCCAATCGACATTCTTCGCTCTCTTCTGCTGCTCTGCAACCCATTTCTGCGGGATTCGCGATTTTTTCCGCCTCGAACGTGCTCAACTCCGACATGCTAATTAATGATCGTGTAAAAAAGCAATTATATTATTATAAAAATTATGCTCTCATGAGAAAACTGTGCGCGTGTGTTTGTGTTGTGTGGGAGATTTCTTCACAACATCTCGCCTTTGCGGCCCTTTTGCATTGCATTGTTCGTGAAGTCATGCTGAATGGAAAAGCGCGTGCATTTTCCGCTGCTTTTCCTTTCCCCGCATTGATAGTCTCACTTTCCGGAATGAAATCAACACACACTCACGCGCGTCCGGGAGTTGCGAAGCGATGACTCACTTTTCGACAATGCCGCACTTTTCTTTCTTCTATTGTAAAGGTGTGCATTGTTTTATCGGCAGCCACACAAGCTCCGCTCTGTGCTTCGATCATCTCTCGACCAGATGAGAGTCCGTTAATTTCTCCATAATTCCCGAATCGCGGCACTTCTTTTCGTCAATAAAACATCGTCGTCGCCAATTGATCTGCTCGCCTCGGTCTGTACCGTTGGGCGGAGGCACTCGGCGGAAAGAGAAACAGATGATCGGGGCATGTAAAGTGGCCCAGGCGCTCCACTTGTGATTCTCGGCAACAGCAAAAATATCCCACAGAACTCTGGCAATGTTTGTGATTCTTCTCTCATGGTCACTCGCCTCATTGTTTGGCGACTTTTTGCGCGGAAATTGTCACCGAGATTTTACGCAATTGTCCCCCACTCGCGCCGTGGCCACCCGTGGGGGTCCACGAGCGCCCCCGCGAGGCGCCTGGGAAGCGCCCCAGTGCATTTGCCTTACCTGTCACCTGAATATGGGTCGGGCTCCACATTGCAGCACACAAATGGGGAGGAAAACACACACGAAATCAACCTTTTTCCACTCTTTGCAACTTCTTCGCCGCCTTATCGTGGCGATAACATGAATAATGGGGTTTGATTTGAGAGGAAAAACTGTAGAAAAGAGCGATAACAGGAGGTAAAATGAGGAAATGAAAACACAAGAACACGTCCGACACTGCGCTGAATGGAAGGTAAAATAGTGACATGATGAAGACAGCGCCAACCCGGCTTGCGGCTCGCTGGAATTCATACGCGTATGTGGTCATTAATGTGTATATCACGTGACCTTTATCCGCTGAGAAGGAAGAAACCAAATTCTTCTCTCTCAAGTGCATCAGCTTATTATATTAACTAATAGATCTCTTTATTGCAGGAGCGATAGAGCTGTGACACAATTTATTTCTTTTCACGAATCCCTTACAATTAGCCTTCCCGTTGGCCGTTCGTGCGCACTTTCCAGTGCATCCACTGGCATGTCACTTCCCGCGCCGCCGCGCATTGCCGCCAGGTGGCCGTGCTGTCGCGATGGAAAAAGTTTTAGTGGGGGTAAAAATGTCGGGCGAATTGTCACAAGCTTTGTTTACATCTCGCCGAGCCACGTGAATTTCCATATCAAATTGCTGTGGTGGATATTAGTTAGGCGCGATATGAATAAGTCTATAGAGATTGCAATAACGTGTGATTTGAGTGGGGCGTTGTTCACGTGCTGCGTGTGGGATGCCAAAACAGGGAATCACCTGATGGTGTATCGCGGCGGCGGGGCCGTGAATCCGCGCTGCGTGTCGCTGGTGGACAACAAGTTCCTGCTCACGTCGGACGCCCACAAGCCGCTACTGCACATCTGGCCCATCAACAGCCAGGAGCAGGTGCGGAACAAGCGCTTTGTGATGCCCGGCTGCGTGTCGGCGCTGGCCACGTCTCCGGACGGGACGTTCATCGTGGCCGGGGTGGCGGAGGTGGTGTACGTGTGGCACTTCCACAGCGGAAAGATGGTGGCGTCGCTGGGGCGCCACTTCCAGACCATCACCGTGATCCGCTTCCACCAGAGCGGCTCGCACTTCGTGACGGCGGGCCAGGACGGCATGATCCTCGTGTGGCAGCTGGCGCGCTGCGTGGACCTGGACCGCAGCGCCACCATCGAGCCCCTGTACAAATTCACACACCACTCCCTTCCAGTGCAGGACGTGCACGTGGGCTGCGGCGCCGCGGGGGCGCTCATCTACAGCGTGTCCGCGGACCGCACATGCAAGGTGTTCGACTTCGCAAGCGGCGCCCTGGTGATGAACCTCGTGTTCCAGGAGGCGCTCACGGCCATAACGGTGGACAAGGCGGAGTCGCGCGCCGTGGTGGGCACGGCCGACGGTCCCATCTACGAGGTGCGGCTGCAGGCGCCGCCGCGCTCGCGCGAGATCCACATGGACTCTAACGACGTGCGGAGCGTGTTCATGGGCCACACGGGCTCCGTGATGTGCCTGTCCATCAGCCTGGACGGCGTGACGCTGCTGTCCGGCGGCGAGGACGCCAATGTGTGTGTGTGGCACATTCCCACCAAGCAGCTCATCCGCGTCATCTCCCACAAGGCGGCCGTGACGAACGCCTTCTTCACGCTCACGCCCTCCACCATGTTCGACGAGGAGGTGGAGCACCAGCTGGGCGCCAACACGTTCCAGCGCATGATGGAGACTGTGGACAAGTTCGAGGAGCTCACGATCGACGTGGAGGCGCCCGCGGACGGCGCCCTGGTGCCCCAGAGCACCGCCTCGGCGTCGCAGCACGCCTTCAGCAATGCCAACAGCACGGCGGACGCCCAGAAGCACGAGTACTACATTCGGCAACTGAGGAAGATCAACACGGATCTCTATAAATACATTGTTGATAATCAATTGGGAAAATAAATTCCACACTTGATGCATTTCCCGGAGCGGAAGAGAGCGCTTTTTCTTGGCCAGGCTCAAGATGCGAGAGTGAGAGAGGAGGCGTGGATTCCAAGGGCGCTCCCGGGAAGTGATGATAAAATACACCGTTCCGCGATTAATTACCCGCCATGTAATTCATGTAAATAATTCAAGAGGCACTTGAGTTTGTCCTCCCAATAGAATTAACTTGAAATTAACCATGATTTTGTTTACAAGGAGTTCAAAGTAGCGACAATAATACTTAGAAATTATCCTCTAGAATTTATATAGTTATCTTTGAGTTTCACGCATGAAATTCTTGCCTAATATTGTGTTTCAAAGAAATCCTTCTCTAAGAATAATTACAAAACTATCACCAAAAACAAATATGTCAAAGCTTCATAGATAAATAAGTTATTAAAGGTGTTGAAATTATTGGGAACTTTGGTCTTTATTTCCTTATCAAACAACATCCAGCAGCGGAAAAAATTCATTGCTTTTGTCACATTTTCAAACAACACTGGTTTGGACAATTAATTGATATTTGACTCCCTTTTCCTCCCTAGAAATTGATTTAATATTTTTTACACCTGTTAATTCTATGCACAACGAGCTTGGATAAATTGTTAGCATTTCCGTACATAGAAAACCTTTTCTACAATTTTCCCAACTTCTTCAATATTTCAATAGACCATCAATTGAAAGAGTCTTGAAAAGAGCTCGCGATTGATCAGTTTGACTTGGAAAAAGTGGTGAAATTTCTGTGAGAAGCAATTGTTTCTCCAGTCGCTCTTAAACTAAGAGAAGATCGGACTCTTAAGAGGCGAAATTTCAGTTGCATAGATGACGCGTACAAAATTCCTGCGCGGCCGCCGCGAGAGGCTCTGAAGTCAGTCGATGAGTCCGAAGAAACTGGTCGAGTGCCATCGCGCGACTCGGAGAGAGCGAGAGAGGGAGCGCGCGCAAAAGAGCGAATTGGCGAGAGGGACCGAGCGAATACGTTAATTGTACTTGGGGAATTGAGGAGTAGTGTTGCTCGGAGGTGCACGGAGTCTGAATGTGTAAATAGTAAATAATATAAACTGGAAGAGGTGCGATTAGGTGGATAAGGGCACTCTTAGATTAGTCATGACGGAGCCATCGCAGGATCTCGTATAAAGCAGGCGAGCCAGTGCCAAAGCGTGTCACACCGAATCCAGATTCGCGCGGAGGCTTGCGTGGACTTTGGCGAGTTCCGCTCCAGTGTTCGCATTCTTGTCGCTCTGCTGGGGACTCGCTGTGACCTGGCTTGGGGTGGTCAGTGTGGCCAGAGGTCGGCCGTGCGCTGAGAAAGGATAAAGAACGCCAGTTGACAGGAAGTGTCATTAAGCTGTCAGGCGAGTGTCCGGATGGTGTTGCAAAGGCCACGATAGGGACATATATTTTTCTCAGCGATTGTGTGCATTCCGCGATCGCGGAGACCGTGTGTGTGCCATTTTCGGGAGCGTGTTCTGGCGCGGAAGCGTTTCGTAATCCGCCACACGAGATAAATCAGTGCAAGAGACCAGAAATTCCATCGCCGTTCTGTGTGTGTTCTGCGCGCAAGAAGTTTCGCAGCATTCGCGAGATCGCGGCCAAACGGCCGAGAGCGGCACAACTTGGCGCTGTGGATGCTGTGAATCACCGCGAGTCATCCGGAAAGGCCCAAATGGCCGCGTGAAGGCCGCAGGGCGAGAAAAGGAGCTGTGCCACGGTCAATTTGTGTGTGTCTGTCGCACCCGGAAAGGCGGGCGACGAATTCTACGGAGTCACGCAGCGAGAAATTAGGTAAATATTCATAAATAATACATTCGCACTTGGCGTGCGTCGCGGCGATTTACAACACTTAACTTCCCATCGTCAAATGTGTGCGGCCAATTGAAGACATTGTGCGGAACAAAGGCGCACATTTCCACGGCTCCTGCGTTCGAGTGCGAATCTGCATTTTCGGCCAACTCCCATCTTTCGCCTCGCCAAGTGCGCCCCAAATCGCGCGGCGGCTGGCCGCGGAAGAGGGGCTCTGAAAAGGCAGTTTGTTATCACCTCTAGTTACCGTTTTCCACTAGAGGAGACACAAATAATTGACTTTCTCTCCTCCGCAAATGTGATAAACTTTCGAATAGGGCCGCGATGGAGTGATTTTGTGATGTTTATCGAGCAAATTTTTGGAAACGAGCCACTCTTTGCCGCTTATTTGCTTTTTTGTGGCTTTGCGGTCATTTGATTATTAAATTTGGTGTGAAACAGACGTTGTCGAGGTGATTTGGTTATGGTGAAGAGATACACAACTAATTCTATGGGCAATTTTACTTTCATTGACAAAGGGAAAATTGTATAAATCATCCATTCAGAATGCATAATTAATGATTCTGATCGGGTGCATTTGTAAATGTCACACAAATGGAATGTTTTACTATTTTCTTTCACTGTCTTTCGATCGGTCTTTCCTCGGGCGAACTCTTATAAATACGGTGAATAAATATGGTGAAATAATTGAGTCTCCAGATTTTTTGATGGTGTGGAGAGAAAAAAACGTGTTTCAAGTTTGTAAAATTTCTTTTTCTTCTTATACATTGAATTGTAGTCATTCATGCCATCTTTTTGACACTCTCGACCGGTCTAGACGCATTCTATCTCTTTTCCACCACTGTGATTTTCCCGTCAACATGGACAAATAAATCAAGAGAAAATTTTGGCTTTATCAGTTTGATTTCTTGTTGAAATTTACGATAGTAAAGTACACGACGTGTGTCTAGATAATTGCTAAATAATGCATAAAAAGAGGTGACTCAGGTTCACCCAGCAAAAACAAACATTCACTTTAAAAGGCATCGACAGACATTAAATGATCTGACAATCGTTTAATTGTCTGCACGTTTCGAATCTCTGAAATGAAAAGATTAACTTTTGACCGTCAGAAAAAAGAGGATGAATTTAAAAAAAAGGAATAATCTAAAAAATTACTCAGATTGCTGTGATCTAACTAACTAACTAATGTTTCTTTTCTCAAATCTAGATGGAGATTACTAACAACACTACCTTATGATTAGATTTCATTTGATTTCACACTGAAACTTTGACAATAGTATTGCTCTATATTTTTTTCCGTCTGTCTGTATTTTCCAAGCAAAGAGACGCAGAGTTATTTGAATTAGTAGATGGCAAAGTTAAAACATAACAAAACAGTTGTATAATCAATAGAAGTGCGAATACTACACATCGCGTAGGCGTGAATTTCCCAAATGTTTCCATGATAAAGAAGTCAATTAGCATTGAGTGAGAGAAGTGTAACAATAAAGCGCATATTTGGGTGGAATTGAGGGCAGAAAACCCTCTCACTTTTAGCCGTCAGCGAAATATTTTCATGAGGTTAACGACTCAATTATATTATAAAACAACAACTTTTTCAAGAATCTATCATTGTTGGGTGAATTTATTGATTTTAAAATTGTATTTTTGGCCTCTGCGAACGGCAACTTAGCCAACATACACTATAGTTGATGCTGAGGAGGACCTTGGGAATGAAATTTCCTGCCAATTGTCGTGAAAAGTAATGAAAAAGAATGTGATTGTGCGTCGTGGGATAAATCTGGGAGTCTTAATTTGAATATTACTCAATTTATAATGCTTATAAGGCTGATGGAGAATTTGCAGTGAAACTGTGAGTTATTCTATCCCACGCATTTCTTTCTCTCTCTCTCACACACTGTCTCTCTTTCGCTCTCTATCGCATAGAGTTTGTGTCTATATCAACTTCCCAACATTATGGCGTTATCTTACGACATATCATATCGGAAATTATCTCCTCTGTCGCCCTCGATGGCACCTTTTGCATCTCCACTGATGAAATGTGTTAAAATTTCTGTGAATTGAATCATCGTGACGCGCTTTTCCTCACAGTCAATTCCGGGTTTCTCTTCAAATGGCTCTCATATCGACGGTCCGGAGAGTCAATTGCACTGCGATGGAGTTTCTCGAGCAAGAAATTGGGAAATTGAGCTGCCATTAAGGTATTTTTCGATATTTTCTCTGTGGACACAAGAAAATGGCTTTGCATTGAAAAGAGCAAAGAGCCAATGAATTCCTTCATGTGCCCCGCATATTCACATATTGGCAAAGAATGAAGGTGAAAGTGAATAATTCAGTGCGATTTTCATTTATGTACAACTTTGCAAGGAAGGGGCATTTTTTTCCAGTCATCATCATCATTTTCTTTGAGCATCTCACAACAAAACTATGAATATTATGCATAATATTGTGAATTGGCGCGAGAACAGCAAAGGCGAGAAAGAAAGAAGGAAAAAAAAGATGTACAAATGGAATCAATTCCAAATAATTGAGTGAGAAGGAAAGTTTTTTTTTCTCTCTTCGCGCTGTATTGATTGGATTACCTGATTTAATATCTATGGATGGGTATTTTTATGTTAGACCACTTTAATCGTGTCTCGTGAGATTTCTTCTGCGCATCGGCGAGGGAATTAAATGAAAACTGGGACACCTTTCATGTGACCATGTGTGATGAATTTCACACAAATGATTTAATATTCTTCTGATATTTCTTCACTTAGAGAGCAACACAAAATTTGAAACATCTCTCACTCGCTCGTTCCGTCTTTTTTTTTCTTCTTCTTCTTCTTGTTTGGTGTCCAAACACACAATTTTGTGAGATGCTCATTAGAGGCCACAAGAAGTTGAGGCTTCGAGAGGGAGAGAAAAAACGCCTGACAATGCTGACCATCGCGCCTCAATGGGGCAGTGGAACATGAAATTACACAATTGCATCGCGGTAAAGCATGGATTATTGCTCACGAGAGTCCCATTTGGACAAAAGACGCGAAAAAAGATCTCTGTGTGCCGAAAAAAAAAATCACGTCTCTGAGAAAAAGACGGCAAATATTGCAAGAAGTCATCATCAAAAATTCACAGAGGCTGTCTTGCATCTCATGCACACCGTCATTTCATGACGCGCTCATTCTCCACGTGAAATTGCAAAATGTGCAGCAAAATTTGTGTTAGATCACTGGCATATTAGCACAGGCACTGTGATGAACACCTTTTTCCCACCCACAGACCCACGATGAATCCCTTCCGATAGTGTTGCGAAGACTGTTTGGCTTCGCGAGAGATTTAGCGCCGAAATAATATTCAAGGTGAAACTTGTAATTTCAAACGTAATACTTAACCAAAATAATGAGCTTCTCATGATAAATCAAATTAATGCTACACTAGCAGTTCTCAGTGATTTGTATTACCCATGATCTCCTTTCCAGCCTCTTTAACAATAAGAGTAGAATCATTGGGAATAGTTATGAGGAGCGAAAATTAGAGGCAAGAATTTGGATTTTTCTGAACAGTTCTCTTGAAATATCTGCAAATTAACTAGTTTTAATTCTTAAATACATTGAGATTGAACATAAAGAAATATGAGTTATCGATTTATAAGAACCAGATTATGAGGTTCTTTTTCAACCTTCGAATAAATTTGTAAGTTATAAAAATTATGCTGTATTTTATTTAGTTGTGCGGTAACATATAAGTAAAACCAAGGCTTAATATTCAATGACCCAAAAATTTTGTTAATTCAATTTTAGAATTACAATCTTTTCCATTACATTTAACTTGAATGTGACTTTAAATTGCCACAGAAACACCGAAAAATATGCTTATCACATGGGGGAGAAAGTTAAAATTGTCGTATTTAAGTATATAATAATTAAATTAGCACTTAATGGTGGAGCTTTTGAAAAGCAAATCTGCTTTATTTGCTGTTTTTCAAGTAAAACAAAGCCACAAAATTCAAACCATCCGAATATGACTCAAGATCTTCAAACATTCGAGTCCCATTTCTTTATTTTTATTGACTCTCTCTCGTCAAAATGGCACGAACAACAAAGGAGACGCATTCCACGCGCGTTGTGTCCATCGATGGAGAAAGAGTGGCAATTTACATATCGACCACATTCTGCCAAATTCGTTAGCCACGAAGTGTTAATGAGGGGATAATTGTCGAGACTTGTCAGGGTCGACATTACCACGATCACTAACGAGTGTATCGTATATTTTTCGACATTTTGCATGGCGAGATTGTAAAATTTCTGGCTGCCAGGAATGATCTCTTAGTCATTTGTATGATTCTAAGAAGACATCTTTATTGGAATTCCAACCCTTTCGCGTCAGTTTGTGGTTGTGTGATTGCATCATCGAAAAAAAAGAAGAAGTGCAGAGATATTTGAATAAAAATGTGCTGTGTGAAGAAGCGAAAAAACCCCATAAGAAAAGGTTTTACTGTTTAATTGTAATATGATTTCTTTTCCTTGACTTGGCGAAGTGACGTCACTTCATAATGAAAGGAAGAGAAGATGATGGAGAGAAAAAAAATGTCGAGAAAGACAGAGAGAGAGAGAGAGAGATCGTTAAGTAATTCGCAACAATAACAATTTGTTCTTTAATGCGTACGAAACACCATCATCAAAGCCAAACCGATTCATCCATATGAGATGCGATGGAAGAGGCTTATTCACCGTATGAAAGCACACAACAATCGTGACGATGACGCGATAGTCTTCCGCGTGCGAAATTAACGATGATGCCAAGATGATAAGTGATATGACGAGACGTTTGTGGCCTTTCGATGGGGCGCATGAGGATCTTGTTATTTGGGCATGATTGCCTTGTTTTAGTGAATAACAGCATAGACAAAAAAGTCCCTTGGCGCGCGCGCGTGTGTGTGTGTTTGGAAATCCTTGGGTGATTTTCTCAAAATTAATAATTCGTGCCTGTGAAAATGT